ATAATACTATTAAGTATCTAAGGTGATGTTTGATAAAACTGAAAGTTGAACATTGAAAACTAAATGCTAAATTTTTTAATTTGCAAACTGTTTGTTATCAACTAAAATTTAAGTATTAAATTGAATTAAATTGTTTGACAAATATAAGAAGCTGAAATTCAAAAATTATTATTATTCTAATTTTGTCAATCTTTTTAACCAACTCATTGTAACTACTTTTTCCTACCACCGCCATCACAATGGTGGTGATAACGACAACACAATGGTGGTGACAGTGGTAATGGTGGTGGTGACGACAATGGTGGTAGGACTTAATTTATCCATCTCAAGTAACAAAAGTTGAAGGAAGAATTATATCTAGACCTCCTGAGGTTTGTCACATAATCACTTAAACCCTTTGATATTTAAAATATTACACATAGATTTCTTGAAATTTGTACACACATAATACTTAAACTCCTATCGTCAAATATCCTTTAGCAAATTATACCAAGACCTTCTAAAGTTAANCGGAACCGCCTCCTCCTTCATCATTGAAGCCAACACCAGCACCAAATATATCCAAATTGCTCTTCCACGCAAGGCTGCCCCCATTCATCACCAAATATATCCTTTAGACGACAATGCACTGGTCCCCTCATCTGTAACCCTTGAAGCCTCACCGCTTGAAGAACCAGAGGCATTGCTGACCTCGTTTCCTGGACTGCTACTCTCATTTAAATGATAATGGATTGCACCGAATGTCGAACTCTGAGACGGTGACGCTTCAGGTGTTATCGAAATTAGCTACACGGTGAACTAGGAATCGAAATTTCAAATCGATCTAAAAGAGTGGACACTAATTTGTCTGCATCGGAAGGAGAAATTGGAGGAAAATTCTGCGACATAGCATTCAAGAAAACTCTTGAAACCTCCAAATCTCCACTGACATTGTTAATCGCCGACATTACAATCTCTCCCGTATACTCCGCAATGGCCATGGTAAAATTCGAGGACAACTCACTGGCTTTATTCACATAACTCAAGAAATCGTACGAAGAGATTGAATCTTTTCCAAACGACTGCGGCCAAAAAGATTGGGCCAAAGAATACGGAATCGACATAAAAAAACCCTAGGACTGCCGATTACGGCCTCATGTCGTCGAAATTGGGCATTTAGAAAGAAATCTAACGGTGGCAGTACAGAGTTAATTGGTGGACATCGGCCACAAATCCAAGCCAATTTATCAGCAAATTGCGAAGGATTTTGTGCGATCAGATCGCAGAGGTCGATCATCGACGCCATTGCTTTACAATGCTGAATCTTTTCGGAGAGAGGAGAGAGAAATCAAACAAACGGAGGTGAAGAATTCATCTGGTGGTGGAATTTAGGGTTACAGAGAGACGATGGTAGGCGGAGGTTCGTACATTGGGACTCAGGAGGTTCGATGTTTTCCCCGCTGTTCTTCTTTCAGAGTTTCTGACTTTATATATATGTCGTTGGTTGTGTCTCTCTGGTGAGATCTTTGGTTCTAACGTCTCTCTGGCGAGATCTTTGGTTTTAACGTCTCTCTGATTTTGTTTCCTTTTTTGTTAGTGTTTTAATTATGGTTAATCTCATTTTATATCTCGAAAGATCGTTCGAATTTTAATTTGTACCCTCAAAGAGTAAAAATCTCAATTTATACCTTCAAATATAGAAATTTGTATCAATATGTACCCCAAATATCAAAAATCTCAATTTGTACCCTCAAAGATAGAAATTTGTGTCAATGTGCACCCCCAAAGATCAAAAATCTCAATTTGCATCCTCAAAGATAAAAATTTATATCAATGTGCACCCCAAAGATAAAAAATCTAAATTTGCACTCTCAAATATAGAAATTTGTATCATTATGCACTTAAAACTAAATTGATAAATTATACATAGATCTCCTCATGTTTGTCACTTAATCATTTGGAGCTCTTTACATTTAGAATATTACTCCTACATCTCATAACATTTATGCACGTACAACATGTAACTCATTTTCATTGATATCTGTTAATATAACTGTTAAAAAATATGATTTTATCCTAATAAAAAATTATAATTTCATATTACTCTTTATTTTGTGGATTCGATATACTCTAAAGTTCAAAATTAAGCTTACCATTTGAATGTCTAATAGAATGTAGATATTTATATAAAGGAAAATATGAAAAACATTATATAAATATCTACATTTTATTAGACATTCAAATGGTAAGCTTAATTTTGAACTTTAGAGTATATATCGAATCCACAAAATAAAGAGTAATATGAAATTATAATTTTTTATTAGGATAAAATCATATTTTTTAACAGTTATATTAACAGATATCAATGAAAATGAGTTACATGTTGTACGTGCATAAATGTTATGAGATGTAGGAGTAATATTCTAAATGTAAAGAGCTCCAAATGATTAAGTGACAAACATGAGGAGATCTATGTATAATTTATCAATTTAGTTTTAAGTGCATAATGATACAAATTTCTATATTTGAGAGTGCAAATTTAGATTTTTTATCTTTGGGGTGCACATTGATATAAATTTTTATCTTTGAGGATGCAAATTGAGATTTTTGATCTTTGGGGGTGCACATTGACACAAATTTCTATCTTTGAGGGTACAAATTGAGATTTTTGATATTTGGGGTACATATTGATACAAATTTCTATATTTGAAGGTATAAATTGAGATTTTTACTCTTTGAGGGTACAAATTAAAATTCGAACGATCTTTCGAGATATAAAATGAGATTAACCATAATTAAAACACTAACAAAAAAGGAAACAAAATCAGAGAGACGTTAAAACCAAAGATCTCGCCAGAGAGACGTTAGAACCAAAGATCTCACCAGAGAGACACAACCAACGACATTATATATAAAGTCAGAAACTCTGAAAGAAGAACAGCGGGGAAAACATCGAACCTCCTGAGTCCCAATGTACGAACCTCCGCCTACCATCGTCTCTCTGTAACCCTAAATTCCACCACCAGATGAATTCTTCACCTCCGTTTGTTTGATTTCTCTCTCCTCTCTCCGAAAAGATTCAGCATTGTAAAGCAATGGCGTCGATGATCGACCTCTGCGATCTGATCGCACAAAATCCTTCGCAATTTGCTGATAAAGTGGCTTGGATTTGTGGCCGATGTCCACCAATTAACTCTGTACTGCCACCGTTAGATGTCTTTCTAAATGCCCAATTTCGACGACATGAGGCCGTAATCGGCAGTCCTAGGGTTTTTTTATGTCGATTCCGTATTCTTTGGCCCAATCTTTTTGGCCGCAGTCGTTTGGAAAAGATTCAATCGCTTCGTACGATTTCTTGAGTTATGTGAATAAAGCCAGTGAGTTGTCCTCGAATTTTACNGAGTTTCTGACTTTATATATATGTCGTTGGTTGTGTCTCTCTGGTGAGATCTTTGGTTCTAACGTCTCTCTGGCGAGATCTTTGGTTTTAACGTCTCTCTGATTTTGTTTCCTTTTTTGTTAGTGTTTTAATTATGGTTAATCTCATTTTATATCTCGAAAGATCGTTCGAATTTTAATTTGTACCCTCAAAGAGTAAAAATCTCAATTTATACCTTCAAATATAGAAATTTGTATCAATATGTACCCCAAATATCAAAAATCTCAATTTGTACCCTCAAAGATAGAAATTTGTGTCAATGTGCACCCCCAAAGATCAAAAATCTCAATTTGCATCCTCAAAGATAAAAATTTATATCAATGTGCACCCCAAAGATAAAAAATCTAAATTTGCACTCTCAAATATAGAAATTTGTATCATTATGCACTTAAAACTAAATTGATAAATTATACATAGATCTCCTCATGTTTGTCACTTAATCATTTGGAGCTCTTTACATTTAGAATATTACTCCTACATCTCATAACATTTATGCACGTACAACATGTAACTCATTTTCATTGATATCTGTTAATATAACTGTTAAAAAATATGATTTTATCCTAATAAAAAATTATAATTTCATATTACTCTTTATTTTGTGGATTCGATATACTCTAAAGTTCAAAATTAAGCTTACCATTTGAATGTCTAATAGAATGTAGATATTTATATAAAGGAAAATATGAAAAACATTATATAAATATCTACATTTTATTAGACATTCAAATGGTAAGCTTAATTTTGAACTTTAGAGTATATATCGAATCCACAAAATAAAGAGTAATATGAAATTATAATTTTTTATTAGGATAAAATCATATTTTTTAACAGTTATATTAACAGATATCAATGAAAATGAGTTACATGTTGTACGTGCATAAATGTTATGAGATGTAGGAGTAATATTCTAAATGTAAAGAGCTCCAAATGATTAAGTGACAAACATGAGGAGATCTATGTATAATTTATCAATTTAGTTTTAAGTGCATAATGATACAAATTTCTATATTTGAGAGTGCAAATTTAGATTTTTTATCTTTGGGGTGCACATTGATATAAATTTTTATCTTTGAGGATGCAAATTGAGATTTTTGATCTTTGGGGGTGCACATTGACACAAATTTCTATCTTTGAGGGTACAAATTGAGATTTTTGATATTTGGGGTACATATTGATACAAATTTCTATATTTGAAGGTATAAATTGAGATTTTTACTCTTTGAGGGTACAAATTAAAATTCGAACGATCTTTCGAGATATAAAATGAGATTAACCATAATTAAAACACTAACAAAAAAGGAAACAAAATCAGAGAGACGTTAAAACCAAAGATCTCGCCAGAGAGACGTTAGAACCAAAGATCTCACCAGAGAGACACAACCAACGACATTATATATAAAGTCAGAAACTCTGAAAGAAGAACAGCGGGGAAAACATCGAACCTCCTGAGTCCCAATGTACGAACCTCCGCCTACCATCGTCTCTCTGTAACCCTAAATTCCACCACCAGATGAATTCTTCACCTCCGTTTGTTTGATTTCTCTCTCCTCTCTCCGAAAAGATTCAGCATTGTAAAGCAATGGCGTCGATGATCGACCTCTGCGATCTGATCGCACAAAATCCTTCGCAATTTGCTGATAAAGTGGCTTGGATTTGTGGCCGATGTCCACCAATTAACTCTGTACTGCCACCGTTAGATGTCTTTCTAAATGCCCAATTTCGACGACATGAGGCCGTAATCGGCAGTCCTAGGGTTTTTTTATGTCGATTCCGTATTCTTTGGCCCAATCTTTTTGGCCGCAGTCGTTTGGAAAAGATTCAATCTCTTCGTACGATTTCTTGAGTTATGTGAATAAAGCCAGTGAGTTGTCCTCGAATTTTGCCATGGCCATTGCGGAGTATACGGGAGAGATTGTAATGTCGGCGATTAACAATGCAGTGGAGATTTGGAGGTTTCAAGAGTTTTCTTGAATGCTCTGTCGCAGAATTTTCCTCCAATTTCTCCTTCCGATGCAGACAAATTAGTGTCCACTCTTTTAGATCGATTTGAAATTTCGATTCCTAGTTCACCGTGTAGCTAATTTCGATAACACCTGAAGCGTCACCGTCTCAGAGTTCGACATTCGGTGCAATCCATTATCATTTAAATGAGAGTAGCAGTCCAGGAAACGAGGTCAGCAATGCCTCTGGTTCTTCAAGCGGTGAGGCTTCAAGGGTTACAGATGAGGGGACCAGTGCATTGTCGTCTAAAGGATATATTTGGTGATGAATGGGGGCAGCCTTGCGTGGAAGAGCAATTTGGATATATTTGGTGCTGGTGTTGGCTTCAATGATGAAGGAGGAGGCGGTTCCGTGACGTACAAGTGAGTGGTGGCCTCTTTTGAGGAAGAGCCTGTGGAGAGCCTTCAACAACAGGAGATTGCTTTCAAGCTGATTGGGCACATATTGGATAATGTCCAGATTGATCTTAAGCTTTTGTAACAAGTGAAGGCCATCACAGAGGTGCAACTCCAATCAATGTTGGCTTTCCTAAAGGTAAAATTCATAGGTATCCACTGGTTTCGAATTTTATTGATATCTTGATGAAAAAACTATATAGATGAATGAAAAAGCTGGTTAAAATGTTTGGTTTTGTTGGCAGATGAGGAAGCGTGACTGGACGGAACAGGGGGATACATAAAAATATGGTTTGGTCTTTCATAACCAATAGATCATCATTTAAGACTTCTCTGTAGCCAATTACTTCCTTACAATTTTTTGTTTCTTAAAATTTTTATACCATTTAACTGTTGTGTCACGAGCTTAGATATTTTCTATTGATTGTAGTACATTAAGACGGTGGAGGAGGGACTAACATGTTGAACTTTGGGAGGCTTTCAAGGTAGTAATCTATCAGTTATGAAGTTAACTTCACTTTGCTTCTTTTGGAGTACTTTGTGTGCTTAAATGTTGTATATGTTGTGTAAGTATGTGGTGTATACAATCTAGTATGTATATATATATATATGCTTGTCGAATAATTGAGTGGACATGTCATTCGTTTTTTTTTTCTTATTGCTCTTTGTTGTTTTGAATGTTTTTTTTATTTTCTCTGTACATAACTAATTTAATTTGTCTTCCTTTCAGTTGATTGTAGAATGGATGCTAGCTTATGAAAGAATAAGAAGGGTTGGAGTGGGTAGAGATGCGTCTGCAAAGCGAATTTGGGAGTGAAAAGATAAGTATATTAGTTTCTCCTATTTTAATTGGCTTTTTTTTTTTTGCAAATTGTGTTTTACAGATGATTATTTCTTTTTTCTTTTTGCTTTTCTTACTTGTTATGATGATTCTTGTGTTACTTCCAACTCCCAACACTCAAGTTAACCCACTATTTTCTTTTTTATTTTTCGTTGTTTTTGTTTTATTCACAACCAATAAGTGCATAGCATTTTTTTACTTATATGTGTTTGTGTTTGATAGGGTTAGGGGTTTAGCATTTAGGTGTTTAGGAGTTAGGGTTAGGGTTAGGGTTAGGGTTAGGGTTAGGGTTTAGGGATTATGGGTTTAGGGTTTTAGGGATGTTTGTCTAACTAATATGTGTTTTGTTTGTTTTTCTATTAGAGAAATTATGTTTTATTTCTTTTTTTATTATCTTTCTATTAAAATTGTTAAATGTTGAAAAAAAAATTCAATTACTTGGAGATGGAGTAAAAGGTTAAATCTAATGTTTGCTTTAATTTCAGTTGTTTGTGGAATGGATGCTTGCTTATGATGGAATAAAAAGAGTTTTTTTTTTTTGAAAAGAAAAGAATAAGAAGAGTTGAACGAGATAAGTTTGCAAAGCGAGTTTAGGAGTGAAAAGTTAAGTATATTTATTTGTCCTAGTTCCATTGACTTTGTTTTACATGTAAAATGTGTTTTGTACATGACTATTTATACTTTTTTTTGTGTTTCTTACTTGTTATGATCATTGTTTCTATTATTTTCAACCCCCAACACCCTCACTATCCCATAGTTTATTTTATGTTTTTCGTTGTTGTTTTCGTGTTTTACACAAACTATAATTGCATAATATTTATTTGATTATAAGTGTTTTGTTTGCTTTTCTATTAGATAAATTATGTTTTATTTCTTTTTTTATTATCTTTCTATTAATTAAAATTGTTAAATGTTGGAAACAAAATTCAATTACTTGGAGATGGAGTAAAAGGTTAAAGTATGGAGGAAAATAAGAGTTTGTAGCATGTAGAAGATACTAATAGAATATAGAATTCAAATAGAGTTTAGGGCTTAGGGCTTTTGGGGTTTTGGATTAAGGTTTAGGAGTTTAGGGGTTACGGGGTTAAGTGTTAAGGGTTTGGGGTTTAGGGGTTAGGGATTTGGGGTTTTGCTTATTGTTGTTTGTTATCCTTTAGATTTTTTTTTTGTTGCATGTAGAAGATACTAATAGAATACAGAAGTCAGATAGGGTTTAGGGTTCACAGACTTGGGGGTTTTGGGTTAATGTTTAGGGGTTAGGGGTTAGGGGTAGGGGATGACGGGTTTAAGTGTTAAGGGTTTGGGGTTTGGGATTTATTATTCTTTTGCTCCACCTCCTGATCATTTTATCCTATTTTTTTTCCTTATTATTTGTTATCTTTTAGATGTTCATTTTTTATGTGTGTAACTAATCTAATGTATGCTTTGATTTTAGTTGTTTGTGGAATTGATGTTTGCTTATGAAGGAATAAGAAGAGTTGAACAAAATAGGTTTGCAAAACGAGTTTAGGAGTGAAAAATAAATATATCTATTTGTCCTAGTTCCATTGACTTTGTTTTACATGAAAAATGTGTTTTACACATTATTTCTAATTTTTTTTGTGTTTTTTACTTGTTATAATCATTGTTTCTATTATTTTTAGCCCCTAACACTCTCATTATCCCACAATTTTCTTTTCATTTTTCGTTGTTGTTTTCGTGTTTTATACAACATATATTTGCATAGTATTTTTTGATTATATGTGTTTTGTTTATTTTTCTATTAGATAAATTATGTTTATTTTATTTTTTATTATCTTTTTATTAAAATTGTTAAATGCTGGAAACAAAATTTAATTACTTGGAGAGGGAGTAAAAGGTTAAAGCATAAAAAAACGTAACCCCTAACCCCCCACGCCTAACCCCTAAACCTTAACCCAAAATTCCAAAACCCGTAAGCCTCAAGCCCTAAATCCTATTTTAATTCTATATTTTATTAATATCTTCTACATGCTACAAACTCCTAATGTTCTTCCATGCTTTAACAAAGTAATTGAATTTTGTTTTCAACATTTAACAATTTTAATAGAAATATAATAAAAAAAGAAATAAACCATAATTTCTCAAATAGAAAAAGAAACAAAACACATATAATCAAACAAATGTCATGCAAGTATAGGTTGTGTAAAACACGTAAACAATAACGAAAAATAAAAAGGAAGCTGAGGAATAATGAGAATATTGAGGGTTGAAAATAATAGAAAGAATGATCATAACAAGTAAGAAACACAAAAAAACGTAGAAATAGTCATGTGTAAAACACATTTTACATGTAAAAGAAAGTCAATGAAATTAGGACAAATAAATATACTTATCCTTTCACTCTTAAACTCGCTTTACAAACTTATCTCGTTCAACTCTTCTTATTCCTTCATAAACAAGCACCCATTCCACCGATAACTAAAATCAAAACGCACATTAGATTAGTTGCACAAATAAAAATAAAAATCTAAAAGATAACAAATAGCAATAATGGAAAAAAAATAGGAGAAGAATGATGAGGAGGAGGAGCTAAAGAAGTAAAAGAACAATAAACCCAGATCCGTTACCCTTAGCCCTTAACCCCGAAGCCCCTACCCCTACCCCTACCCCTAACTCGTAAACCTTAACCCAAAACCCCAAAAGCCCGTAAGCCCCAAGCCCTAAGCCCTAAGCCTTAAACCCTATTTGAATTTTATATTCTATTAGTATCTTGTACATGCTACAAACTTCTAATGTTCTATCATGGTTTAACCTTTTGCTCCCCCGCAAAGTAATTGAATTTTATTTCCAACATTTAATAATTTTAATAGAAAGATAATAAAACAAGAAATAAAACAAAATTTCTCTAATAATACAGCAAACAAAACACATTTAATCAAAGAAATACTATACAATTATAGGTTGTGTAAAATATGAAAATAACAACTAAAAATGAAAAGGAAATTGTGGGATAATGAGAGTGTTGGGGGTTGAAAATAAAAGAAACAATGATCATAACAAGTAAGAAACACAAAAAGAAGTAGAAATAGTTATGTGTAAAACACATTTTACATGTAAAACAAAGTCAGTAGAACTAGGACAAATAGATATACTTACATTTTCACTTTTAAACTCGATTTACAAACTTATCTCGTTCAACTCTTCTTGTTCCTTCATAAGCAAGCATCCATTCCACAAACAATTAAAATTAAAACACACATTAGATTAGTTACCCACATAAAAATGAAAATTTAAAGAATAACAAACAACAATAAGTAAAAAAAAATAGAATAAGAATGATGAGGAAATGGAACAAAAGAAGCAAAACAACAATAAACCCAAATCCCTAACCCATAAACCTCTAACCCTTAACTCTTAACTCTTAACCCCATAACCCCCTAACCTAACCCCAACCCCCTACCCCCTGCCCCCTACCCATAAACCCCTAAACCTTAATCCAAAAGCCCTGAGCCCGTCAGCCCCATTTTCCCAAAGCCCTAAACCCTATTTGAATTCTATATTCTATTAGTATCTTCTACATGCTACAAACTCCTAATTTTCCTCCAAGTAATTGAATTTTATTTTCAACATTTATCAATTTTAATAGAAAGATAATAAAAAATTAAATAAAACATAATTTATCTAAGAAAAACAAGCAAAACACATATAATCATAGAAATGCTATGTAATTATAGGTTG